CAAACAAAGTTTTAATTTTGGACCCTTTGGACATCAATGTGGACCAATTTGATAAAGGGGCCCAAAATCCCAAATCTAAATACACTGTCAGATTCAGCAAATCAAAGAACCCTATATAAACCAGGTTTGTTGATATCAAACAAAGTTAAATTTTGGAACCCGATTTAGACCAACTGAAAACTTGCCCCAAAATCAACTAGATATGGACAATGCCCCCCCCCCCTTTTCTGCTCTGCCATATGCATGATTATAGTTCCACATATTTTATATTTGACAAACAGTGATGTTGGCATACAACTTGAAATTGTTACGCTGTCTGTAAGACACAAATGATGCCCCCGCCTGACCATAGGAAATTATAAATTTAACACTATGTATGATGATCTATGTTTTATTATTATGCTAAAGGCTACACTTGCAGGACTGAATGTCTAGCCAAAAGGTTTCAACTTTCAAGAATACTGTCGGCTACACCTCCATTATGTGTTTGAACATCCTACAAAATATTAAAGTTGTACCCCCCAAAAAGCCGGACAAACCATGATCTCTTTATGCAACTAGTACCAAAAAAATGACTAAGTCCAACTACCTGTCATTTTCAGAATATTTAAAAGAAATCAAAATCCTGTGACCATGCACACCTCCATTATGTGTATGAACATCCTACAAAATATTAAAGTTGTACCTCCAAAACTGTAGGAGGAGATAGCCGGACAAACAATGTATCCTAATACGGACGGACGGACAGGGGTAAATTAATATGCCCCTCGATATTTTGTCGCGGGGGCATAAAAATCTAAATACATGCTTAGATTCAGTCTATCAAAGAACCCCTTGAATTCTTTTTTTTCATAAAATCAAAATAAGTTTAATTTTGGACTATGTGAACCAATTTGAAAACCGGTCCCAAAATCAAAAATTTTAAATACACAGTTAGATTCAGCATGACAAAGAACCCAAAGAATTCATTTTTTTTTAAATCAAACAAATTACAATTTTGGACCCTTTGGTCCTTAATGTGGACCAATTTGAAAGGAGGCCCCAACATTAAAATCTAAATACATGGTTAGATTCGGCATTTCAAAGAACACCAATAATTCAATATTTGATGAAATCAAACAAAGTTTAATTTTGGACCCTTGTACCAATTCAAATACGGAGCCCAAAATCTTAAATCTAAATATACGGTTAGATACAGCATATCGAAGAACCACATGAATTCAAGACTTTGAATTAAACCACATTAAAATTGGTCAAGAAATAAGCAATTTATACAAAGTAATTAGAAAAGTATCGTAAATAAAATGCTCCGCAGGGCGCAGCTTGATACGACCGCAGAGGTCGAACCCTGAACAGTTGGGCCAAGTATGGACACAACATTCAAGCTTGATACAGCTTTGCATTTGGATTGTGATTAAATATTTGACACATCATAGGTTTCTGACACAGAATGAATGTGGTCTAAGAACTTAAAAATTTTAAATTGGACATTCACCTATTATGGTCCAATATCCAAAATCTAAATACATGGTTAGATTCAGCATATCAAAGAACCCCAAGAATTCAATTTTTGATGAAATCAAACAAAGTTTAATTTTGGACCCTTTTGACCTCAATGTGGACAAAGTTGATAACGGGGCCCAAAAATCAAAAATCTAAATACATGGTTAGATTCAGCATATCAAACAACCCCATATATTCAATTTTTGTTGAAATCAAACAAAGATTAATTTTGGACCCCGATTTGGACCAACTTGAAAACTGGGCCCATAATCAAAAATCTAAATACATGTTTAGATTCAGCATATCAAAGAACCCTAAGAATTCAATTTTTGTTAAAATCAAACTAAGTTTAATTTTGGACCCTTTGGACCTTAATGTAGACCAATTTGAAAATGGAACCAAAAATTAAGAATCTAAATACACGGTTAGATTCGGCATATCAAAGAACCCCAATAATTCAATTTTTGATGAAATCAAACAAAGTTTAATTTTGGACTCTTTGGACCTCAATGATGACCAATTTAAAAACGGGGCCCAAAATCCAAAAACTAAATACACGGTTAGATTCAGCATATTATAGAACCCCAAGAATTCAAGAATAAAACCCCATTGAAATTGGTCAAGAAATAAGCAATTATACGAAGTTCTTTTGCACAATACTGTGCAATGAAATATTTCTTGCTATTGAGCAATACTGTACAATTGACAATTTCTTGCTATTGCGCAATATTGTGCTATTGAATATTTCTTGCTATTGCGCAATACTGTGCAATTGAAAATTTCTTGCTATTGCGCAATACTGTGCAATTGAAGATTTCTTGCTATTGTGCAATACTGTGCAATTGAAAATTTCTTGCTATTGCACAATACTTACTATATAATAATTTACACATCCTGTTTGGTGTGTATCTCCTACCATATTATTATTATTTGCTTTTAAATATAAATCAGAAATAACCAACTTTAAAGGAAAATTCTAAAAGAAAAAAAAAAGGAAGAAAAGAAAAAAAAGGAAAAAAAAAAAATCCCCCCCCCCAAATTTTTTGAACCCCCTTATGATTCATCACCCCCAAACTCAATCCCAGCCTTCCCTTTGTGGTATGGTACCTTGCAGTACAATTTCAGAGAGATCCATACACTTGAACACAAGTTATTGTCTGGAATTTAGAAAAATGTGTTTTTTGGGCCCTTTTTGGCCCCAAATTCCTAAACATTTAGGGCAATTACCCCCAAACTCAAACCCAGCTTTCCCTTTGTGATATGGCACCTTGTAGTACAATTTCAGAAAGATCCATACACTTACACACAAGTTATTGTCCTGAAACTAGAAAAATGCTTATTTTTGGCCCCTTTTTGGCCCCCAATTCCTAAACGTTTCGACAATTACCCCCAAACTCAATTCCAGCTTTCCTTTTGTGATATGGAACCTTGTAGTACAATTTCAGAAAGATCCATACACTTACACACAAGTTATTGTCATGAAACTAGAAAAATGCTTGTTTTTTGCCCCTTTTTTGGCCCCTAATTCCTAAAATGTTGAGGCAATTACCCCCAAAATCAAGCCCAGCATTCCTTTTGTGATATGGAACCTTGTGGTACAATGTCAGAGAGATCCATACACTAACACACAAGTTATGTCTGGAAGTTACATAAATGCTTATTTTTGGCCCCTTTTTGGCCCCTAATTCCTTTACTGTTAGAACCATAACCCCCAAAATCAATCCCAACCTTCCTTTTGTGGTATTGAACCTTGTGGTAAAATTTCATAGAGATCCATTCACTTAAACTAAAGTTAGAGTGCGAAAACCAATGTGTCTTCGGACGACGCCGGACGACGCCAGACGACGACGACGACGACGACGACGACGACGCCAACGTCATACCAATATACGACCACAAAAATTTTTTTGCGGTCGTATAAAAATGAAGAAAAAAACCAATTCCAAAATAGTATTCCTCATTAATACAAAGTCTTTAAAACTTACCTTAATTATTTTTTAAAATATCTAATAATGAACAGTAAATTTCAAATTATACCAATACATAATTTTTTTCTCTAAAATAAGATATGATGATATATCTATTTTCAACTATGACTCAACTTAAAATTTCTGTTAATTGTGCAATACTGTATTTACTTCTCTGAATTTAGATTCTGATTAAATATTTAATAATAGCATAGTTTCTGACACAGAATGAATGTGGTATAAGTTCTTAAATTTAAAATTGGACATTTACCAATTATGGTCCAATATCCAAATTCTAAATACATGGTTGGAATCAGCATATCAAAGAACCCCAAGAATTAAATTTTTGAAGAAATCCAACAAATTTAATTTTGGACCTTTTGGACCTCAATGTGATTCAATTTGATAACAGGACCCAAAATCTAAAATCTAAGTTTTCTGCCGGACAATGATGCACAATACATCATCAATCAATCAATAATGCATTTTGCATGCAGTCAGTTTCATTTATATATTAGACAAAGAGAGTGTTAAAGAATTATAAGATAATATCATAATATGACAGGGAAAACGTAATATTTGCAGTAATACATCTCACAAATAAATGTAGCAATTAGATCTATGTTTCAAACATGTGTGATGCTTTACTACTATAGATATTGACTTTTTTTATAAATTTTTATTTATTGATAGAATATTAAATTTCTTGTCTCTAAATTTGTTTTCTTGTCGCTAAATAGTGTTCTTGTCGCTTCTTGTCGCTAAATTATCCTTCTTGTCGCTTCTTGACGCTTCTTGTCGCTAATTAGTGAGACCGCAGGGATACTTTCGATACATTCGGGCTTTTGCGTCTTTAATAAACATTGTAAAATCGTAGTAAGTGTCGAAAAATGTTCATTCATGAAATATTTTAAACACGGCATTTATTTTCTCTTCAACCGGAGGACGGGAGGAATCCCCTGAAACCGGGATTATAGTACTCCCTTTGATATGGATCTCACGCATGTCTGGGGAATACCGATAAAAACATAACTTAGAAACTGCTGTCTCGTGTAGATCACGGTGTATTGATTTTACTTTCCGCGCAGCGCAGATCCGCGAAGTAGTGTTTGTGATAGCCATTTTCAAAATGAAGTTGAATTATTTGAATTATCGATGAACATTCGGTAAATTTTAATTCAAACTGTAAGCTAATCAAAATAGAAGTAACTCAAAATTTCAAAAGCATCTTCCTAGAATTAGTTGTCAAACACCAGTACTACATTATCTAGGAGTAGAACACACATCCTAAAGTAAGATAGTCTGTCACTTCCGGTTTGAGGCCGATGCCTTAGGAAAGTTTTTACTATAGCAAGCCATAGCAAACTTCCCAAAAACTAAGCGAAATTGTTTATCCCGCAATGCATGAAAAATGTGTTGTATTTCAGTAAATAACATGTGTTCTCGGTTGATCGTACACATGTAGTAGTCCATCATGCATTGTTACTCATTTAGTGGATTGGTCAAAAACCCAGTTAAAAAAATACGTCATACGTAAATAAACAATTATATTTGGGTGGACATTATTATGCTAATTTATGCATATCCATATAAGGTAGTGTTCCCGATCTGTTAAACCATTATGAAAGTATCATGGCAACAATTCATTTACATGTACGCCGATGATGATCTATCATTAAATCAAATCCAACTAAAAAGTCCGATCCATGAGATAATTTTCTTAAAATTAGAGAAATTTTGTCATAGAAAGCGCCACTATTTGATTGACATATTTAATTCATGAAAAGTACAGTTAAGTTTTCCTCATATTTTTCCCCGTTTCCATATATTGCATTTTAATTTTGCCTCAGTTATTTGAAAACTGCTAACCTTGTAAATCAAATAGGAACTTGTATTATTTCAGGGATTTTGTAAAATCCCTTGTCAAAATCAGGGATTTTATAAAATCACAGATTAGTTCAGTGATTTTACAAAACTCCTGAAATTTCAGGGATTTTACAAAATCCCTGATTTTACAAATTCACTGTAACATGTATATACCTCACATCTTTAATTCAAATGAAAAATTGTTATGATAAAGTTTTAATTATTTTGTTTGTCTTCATCCCTTTTCAACATCTGCAAATGAGCTGGTTTCTGAAAAAAAAAGAAAAAATGATTTTGAGAAGATTATTTAATGAATATTGAAGTTCAAAAATAGTAATTGCAAACCTTAAGTTAAAGTTTTGTTTACAGTAGTTTTCTGAAAAATTATGTTATTTAAACAGAAAGAAATATTTGGTAAACTTTTTCAACCCCAAAAGAGGGAATTTTTTAATGGGAGATAAGCATTTCAGCATTGCTTAAGCTTTTTGTAATTTTTTGTTGTTGACTTTTTGCACTTAATGGATTAAACATTTTTGGTAGTTTATTGATGAATCAACTGTACTCGCAAATGAATAAAACACTCTGTTTTTTTCACTATTTTGTTTTTTTTAACAACCACAGATTGTGGATAATGTTTACATGTTTTGAATGTGCAACTTTAATTCAAGCTGTCATTTGACAATGGGAATTTAATTTATTAAACTATAGAGTTTACATATTTTGCAAATGTTCTCAGCATCTTATACCAAGACCCATCAAGTTTCAACAGCCATATTTTGTTTCTCTGAGATTTAATTTGACCGGAACATAAGGCCAACATCATTTCAGGGAAATTATTTTCCCCCAATTCATTTATACATCTATAAAATCATTAATAATAAAAATAAGATGTGGTATGATTGCCAATGAAACAACTCTCCACAAGAGACCAAATGACACAGAAATTAACAACTATAGTTCACCGTACGGCCTTCAACAATGAGCAAAGTCCATACCGCATAGTCGGCTATAAAAGGCCCCGAAATGATAAATGTAAAACAATTCAAACAAGAAAACTAACGGCCTAATTCATGTTCAAAATAATGAAGAAAAACAAATATGCTACACAGCAACAAACGAAAACCACTGAATTACAGGCTCCTGACTTGGGACAGGCACATACAGAATGTGGTGGGGTTAAACTCGTTTGAAGGCACCAACCCTCCCCCTACGCTGGGACAGTGGTGTAACAGTAAAACATAAGAACAAACTATAAAAATCAGTTGAAAAAGGCTTAACTCATGTAGATGGATACAAATAGAAATACATCTAACAATAAATTGCTTCGCCGGGCGCAGCTGGATACGACCACCAAGGTCCAACCCTAAACAGTTGGGGCAAAAATGGACACAATATTCGCGCTTGATGCAGGTCTGAATTTGGATTGTAATTAAATATTTGACACATAATAGATTTCTGACACAAAATAACTGTAGTCAAAGAACTTAGAAATGGTTATATGATTTGAATTTATATTCAATTTTTTGCTTTTGTGCAATACACTATGCTGTTGCGTATTGACCCCCCCACCTTTTTTTTGCCAAAAAAAAAATATGTGAAGAAATTTTGTTTAATTTCTGAAATCTGAAATGAGAAAAAAATTGCCCCCCCCCCCCAATTTCTTTTTTACCCCCCCCCCCCCCCCTTTTTAAAAAAGAAAAAAATCTTTCCCTCAAGATATGGTTATAATCTCAATTCAAATTACCAATGGAGTTTGCAACCATAATTACCCATTTAAATACATCATAAAAGTCTTAAATAGATAATTTAAAAGCAGTGTAAGGGAGGTAATCCAACATTGTACAACATTTAACAATTTTGTTTTTGGATTACCTCCCTTACACTGCTTTTAAATTGTCCATTAACCAGGAAACCCTTGTTTTTCCCCCTTTTTTGCCCCTAATTCCTAAACGGTTTGAGCCATAACACCCCCCCCCCCCCCAAGCCAATCCTAACCATCCCTTTGTGGTATGGAAACTTGTGGTATAATTTCAGAGAGATCCATATACTTAAACACAAGTTATTGTCTGGAAGTTACAAAAATGCTTATTTTTGGCCCCTAATTCCTTAACTTTTGGTACCATTACCCCCAAAATCAATCCCAACCTTCCTTTTGTGGTATTGAACCTTATGGTAAAATTACATAGAGATCCATTCACTTAAACTAAAGTTATTGTGCGAAAACCAATGTGTCTTCGGACGACGACGACGCCAACGTCATACCAATATACGACCGCAAAAAATGTTTGCGGTCGTATAAAAATAAAGAGTTGACGTGGACGGGTACTTATACATCCCCACAACAAAAAGACATTAAGTACAGATCTGAGAGTACTCGCGGTTACTGACAGCTAGTTCAAAGCCAATAACAACTCATGAAAAAAATCATGCATCTAAGATTAAAATATCAATCAGTACACATCCAACATCCAATCAATTTAGTGTAAAGACGTCAAAAACAGTCAGAGAAAAACATGACCTTGTGCAATGCCTGATAACAAAATCAATATTAAAACCAATAAAAACAATATTCAAAGATCTAATTACAGTGTTGAATTGGTAACCTTTTAGAATAAGTTTATTTAAAGGATCGATAAGTTTACCCAGATCGATTCTAAATTTCCGGGCTCGGTAAACAACATCTCTGTAAAAATGAGGATGTGCTATCCTGTTTGAAATAAGTTTTCTACAGGTACAACCAAACTTCAAAACCAAATCTTTATATCTATGGAAGAATTTAGTAAAGGTTTTAAGTAATTTGTGGTAACGAAATCCCTGACTTAATAATTTACCAGTAATACATTGATTACGTTCATTGAAATCTAAAACGTCACAACAGACACGGGCATAGCGAACGAGTTGTTATATATAAAAACCGTAAGATGGTGCCAAAGGAACATCACCGTCCAAAAAAGGAAAATTAACAAAAGGGAACGAAAAATCGTCCCTTATGTCGTAAATTTTAGTGTAGAGTTTCCCTTATTAAAACTTAAATATCTAAATCTAGGAAAGGACAGTTATTACCGTTTATATTTGATTTATTTAAAGTAAGTTCCTCTGGGTAAATTTCGGCCGAAACGTACATAAATATTATCAAGGAGAAAATTAACAGCTTCTATCATCTCATCACACCTCCAGTAAGTATATCTAGCATATTTACCTTTCTCATTAGAAAAGAAGGCTATTAATGAGTTGCAGCAAATATATTTGCATTCAGATTTACCAAACGACCATTTAATTAAAAAGGAAAACTTTTGTTTGATAAGATTGTGTGGAAGTGTAGTGTAAAGAATTGAAAAGTCAAAACTGTCAACAGAATCAAAAGGAACATAACAAATAGTACTTGCAAACCTCTTATCTTAGGGACGGATAAATCCTACTTTGTAAAAAATCACTCTGAATCAAACAAAAAATTCTCTGAAACTGAGCAACACAACGGGTGCCACATGTGGAGCAGGATCTGCTTACCTTTCTGGAGCACCTGAGATCACCTCCAGTTTTTAGTGGGGTTTGTGTTGCTCAGTCTTTAGTCTTCTATGTTGTGTTTTGTGTACTGATGTTTGTCTGTTTGTCTTTTTTCTTTTTAGCCTTGGCGTTGTCAGTTTATTTTCGACTTATGAGTTTGAATGTCCCTTTGGTATCTTTCGCCTCTCTTTTGCCTGTTGGGATCTATGACAGGAGCTAATTTTATCCACATTCATCTGTTGGGATCTACCGCAGGGTAGTTTTATTCAAATTCACCTGTTGGGATCTACCACAGGATCTATTTTTATTAACATTAACCTGCTGGGATCTACCGCAGGATCAATTTTCATTCACATTAACCTGCTGGGATCTACCACAGGATAGTTACATTCACATTCACCTGTTGGGATCTACCACAGGATCTATTTTTATTCACATGCACCTGTTGGGATCTACCGCAGGATAGCTTTATTTACATTCACCTGTATCTATCAATGTCAACAACTTTATCTACACTATGTAATGTAATGAAATATATCCTTTAATAAAAATAGATTATTATCTAATGAAAATGATATTTGCAAATCTGGACACCCAAACAGGATCAAGTAAAAATTTAACATTAACACACACAACAAAAATAAAATACCACATAACAACTGTGACATCTACCTTCAAAACACACATGACTTAAAAAAAATAGTTATAAATTTTTGACAACTCCTGACTAATCAATTGAACGGATACAATCATTGATAGACTATCTATACATCTCAGCTATACATAAACTTATTAATTTCTGTTCAAAAGGGAAATAACTCAATCACATAATAAGTAAATTTCTGGTTTCTAAAAGGGTCCAAAATTCAAGAACTAGAAAAGCTAAAGTCGTGAAAATTGAACTTGACCTTCTTTTAGTCACAGGAAACAACATATCAAAATTTGAAAAAAAATGTCATCAAAGTGTTTTCATGTAAATGAACAGACACTGTTTGGCAACCGCCCGCCCGCCGTACATCCCCAAATCAATAATTGATTTTTCCTTCGAAAATCCGGTTAAAAATCAAACTTCTGTTTTTTTTTTTATAAGAATACGAAATAATAGGAGGTTCTGTATTATCAAAATATGGAGGTAATACCGATTTTGGCAATTTAAAGGAGAATAAACATATAAGTATAAATTTTATTGCAGCTTGCTCAGTTTAGAGTTATTATTTCAGGCAAATCACTAAGAGTTGTCGACGAATTAAGAATTAACTACATATCATTGAGATGGGAGCTATCTCTGTGGGCCTCGCTGTGAATAATGTGTGGTAAAAAATTTGTATCTTTATCATTGGACATGGGGTTGTCAACTGAAACCAAAGTTTTTGACCTTGACCTTTGACCTAGGAAGTTGTATATAAATTATGACACACCCTCTGGTGTTGGTTTATATACATGTAAAGTGTAAACTTTGAAATCATAACAGTTCTCAAGATATGGAGCGGACACGATCTTTACCATAGAACATGGGGTTGTCAACTAAAACCAAAGTTTTGACCTTGACCTTTGACCTAGGAAGTTGTACATACATTATGACACACCCTCTGGTGTTGGTTAATATACATGTCAAGTATAAACTTTGAAATCATAATGGTTCTCTAGATATAGAGCGGACACAATTTGTAACGGACGCACAAACAGACGGACGGACGGAACGACAGACGGACGGACAGACTGATCACTATAGGGCGTCCGCCATTCGGCGGGGCCCTAATTACAGA